GTGGTAAGTGAAGTACAGAGGTAGCAAAGCAAGCCAAGATTCCCCTCTGTTCTCTCTAGAAAGCTCCAAAAGATGGAAAATTGATGTCTAGTGCAGACTGGCAGCTGGACCCAGCTGAACTGGCTTCTAAATTCAGTGAGCGGACAAAAGCCATCGTCCTGAACTCACCCAACAACCCTCTGGGCAAGGTAATACCTCTGACCTTGCTGTGACTGTCCCTGGAAGTTGCTGGGGTGCTGCAGCTCACCCACCCACACTGGCAGTGCAGCAGTGACTTGACCTTCCTTGCACACAAGGAAAATATGTGTTGTGGGAGCAACACATGCTGCACTCACTCTTCCAGTGTTTTGAAGCCTTGGCCTTTGTGCCAGCAGTGGCTTTGCCCTGTTAGACCAGTGCAGCCAGCACCAGGTTTGGGAGATGGTGCACAGCCTTCACGGATGGGCAGGGACTCAGAAATGCTTCTGCTGCATCTCTGCTCCTCTCCCTGCCTGCTGCAGGTGTTCAGCCGTGGGGAGCTGGAGCTCATTGCAGAGCTGTGTGTGAAGCACGACGTGCTGTGCTTCAGCGACGAGGTGTACGAGTGGTTGGTGTATGACGGGAAGGAACACATCCGCATCGGTACGGAGAGGGGCTGGGCTGAGCCTGGGGGCTCCTCAGGGAAGGGTGTGGGGATTTAGATGGGATTCCCTGGAAATCACACAGGCTGTCTGCATACACAGCTCTACTAGGCACATAGCCCCACTGGAGGTTTGTTGCAGCACTTGAGTCTCAGCCTCCAAACCAGCCCTGGCTTCAGAGCCAGTCAGAGGTGAGATCTAGAGCAAAGAGCCCTTTGGCTCCAGTGAAACTGATTTTTCTTTCTATGCTTTGTAAAGCCACAGTTTTCTGAGTGTCTCTAGTTTCGGGAAATCCATTTCAACACAATTTCAGAGGCCTGTTCTTCCAGTTGTAGTAACATGCAATCACCTCCTTGCAGGGTGATGGTGCTTGGCATCTCCAGGAGTCCCTGGGGCTGGGTACATGTGCATGAAAATATTCAATTAAAATGTGATGCTCTTGAGAAACTTGGCTGCCTGCTCAGGATGTGCTTTGAGGCTCATCCAGGTGAAAGATGTGCTGTGAAGACAAAGATCACGATTGTGGTGGGCACCATGGCATTAGTGCAGCCCAGAAATGAGCGTGCTGAGCTCTGCCACTGGGATTTCTCTCATTTCATTCCCAGCCAGCTTGCAAGGAATGTGGGACCGCACAGTGATGATTGGCAGTGCTGGGAAGACCTTCAGTGCCACTGGATGGAAGGTGAATACCCCATGTAGCACCTCATTGTGTCCCCATCCCTGTCCCTTTGCCACAGCACTGGGGACACTGCTGCCACACACTCAGCTTTGAGCCTCAGGGTCTGAAATTACCAAAGCTGCTTTATGAAAGATCTGTCTGGAAAATACAATGACACCAGCACAGGCAGATAAAGGGGAGCCCAAGCAGGGACCAAGACTTACCACCTTCCTCCTCCTCTCCTGGCTGCAGGTGGGCTGGACTGTGGGACCTGACAGGCTGATGCAGCACGTCCGTACAGTGCACCAAAACTCAGTGTACCACTGTGCCACAGTTGCTCAGGTAAGGCAGCTCCCTGCAACTCCCAAACTCCTGAAGTAGGGGCAACAGATGGTCCTTCTGCCCATGGCTGACCTGAAATGCAGACAGGTGATACATGGTGCTCTGGAGAGGCTCCTTGCCCTCTCCCTACAGTTGCCCAGTGTCTGGGAGAAAGAAGAGTCCCACCTGCCTGGGGTGTATTCCTTATCTTGCACTGACAAATCTAAGGGGCCATTGGAAAGGCTGGAGGCAGAGAGCTCCCTAATCACCTGTGAATTGTATCAGAGCAAAGACTTCAGTTCCTAAGCAAGTTTTGACCATCTTCCCACTGGGCATTGGCTCCTCTCTCCTTGCAGGAAGCTGTGTCTCAGGGTTTCCAGAGGGAGCTCAGCCTCTTTGGAAAACCAGACAGCTACTTTGTCCAGCTGCCCAAGATGCTGCAGCAGAAGAGAGACCAGCTGGTCCAGAGCCTGGATGCTGTGGGAATGAAACCCATCATCCCTGAAGGCACCTATTTCCTGGTGGCAGATATCTCCAAGTTCAGTGAGTCAGCTGCACTTCTGCTCAGGTGGGCTGAGCATGGGGGGCAGCTTGGACTGGCAGGGACAGGAACCTGCATAAACCACCACCAAAGCAGAGATGGACAACACATCCCCGATCCAAGCTCCAAGGATGTGGGTTTGGGGCTTGGCTAAGTCACCCAGCAGCCACCCCAGCCTCTGTGCTTCTCCTGCAGAATCTGATGTCCCTGATGACCCCAAATCAGATGAGCCCTATGACTACAGATTTGCAAAGTGGATGGTTAAGAACAAGGTAAGTGTGTCTGGCCCTTTCTGCTGCATTTGCCTTGGGTGGGTTTGTGCTCTCCCCACTGGCTGCACCCCTGGCACCCAGCAGCACACCACCACTGCTGGGTCTGGCAGCTGAGGGCAGGGGGGACCTGAGTGGATGGATTCACCCACCCTGGGGCACAGCAGGCTGCACACCAGCCTGAGAGCAGGAACCACAGCTCTACATGCTTCCTCTTCCCAGGGGCTTGCTGCCATCCCACTCTCAGCTTTCTACAGTGAGGCTCACAAGAACAACTACAACAATTACCTCAGGTTCTGCTTTGCAAAGGTGAGACATGTGACAGCATGAAGGAAGGTGAGGTTGAGGGTAATAATCAGGGCTGGTTTAGTGAGATAAATGCCAAGAAGAAATGCAGAATGCCTTGGGCATTGGAGCCTGAGCTTGGCATCCCAGCTGGAACAACCTCTGCAGACACATGAGCCGAGCTGGGGGCAGCAGGTGTGCCAGGGCCGTTCCAAGCTTTATCCCATCAGTATCCTACACTTCTTGGTCGAGGCAGGGAGTCTCTGGATGTGTGTTTAGCAGCCCAGTGGCTGTGCCTGCCCCAGAAATGGCTGTGGCTGTCTCATACTGAACACGGGGTATTTGTGATATTTTATAATGAGAACTGGGTTTTTATATAAAGATGACAGCAGTGAGGGCAAATGGGATTTGGCTGGAAGCCACTGACCAAACCTGTGGTATTTATTTAGGAGGATGCTACACTGAAGGCAGCAAGTGACATACTGCAAAAATGGAAACAGGAGAAAATCAGTTCCTGAGCACACTGGAGAGAGAATCAGGCTCTTCTTGGTCCTCACCTGCCCTGACTGCTCTTCTTCCTTTGCTTGGCTACAAACTTTGATATGTTCTTGCTTTCAACCACATCTTCTGTCAGACAAATGGGTAAGAGGTTTGCCAGGCCCAGGGTCTGAAGGACACTTTCTGTCACCATGAAATGATTGTAAAAGTCTTTGCAAGCGCTGACAGTATTTGACATTTCTTACATTTAAAGACTTTGCGAATCACTTCTGGGATGTGTCCAGCAAGACACAAGGCAAGGATAGCTCCTGGGGTCTTTTCCATCACCAAATTAAGAAAAGGTGTTTCAGGACCTACCTTTAAGGCTGTGCTGGAGGGTTAGTGCAGTTTGTTTTGCTCCACATCCCCACTCAGCTACCCAGAGGTGCAGGACAGCATTTCCACCAGCACCTACGTTCCCATGGGACTGTGCAGTATCACCAGCCATCAGCAGGGTAACTCCTATGACTGTGAAATTACAAACCCAGTGAAATACCATTTCCCATGATTACAACTTTCCCACTAGTTTTTCTGTACATCTCTGGGGAAGGTGATCACAGAATCCATAACTTCCTTCCCCCAGCAAACAGGCTTTCCTCAACAGCCTGGCTATAGCCAAACCTTCCCTGGGCACCCCTAAACTACTCTGGGCTACTACTGTCAGGGCTTGGCAGCATCATCCAGGCTGCAGAGCAAAACCTTCAGAACACAGTGGCCAGGGAGGACAGGCACTGTACCTCAGGCTGCTCCTGCTGCTGGTGGCCCCCACAGCCTCCCACACCCTAGGCTGGTGGGGTAACGTGAGCAGCATTTGAGAGGAAATTCTTGCATCAGTCTCGATTTCTACTTGGACAAGAATGTAAAACATCATCAACCACACAGGAGTTATGTGCAACTGTGAGATAAGTGTTTGTAGCTGTTAAAGTAATAAAGTGGAATCACTGCAGTCATTGAAGAGTAAATGTCTCTGTGATGACTGTAGAGCTGACACAGCTCTCCTAGAGAGCTGCTGTCACCTGTGCAACACCTGCACTACATCTCATGGTGGTGGCTGCTCGTCCCACCCAGCCCAGAGGGAGCAGCTCCACAGGCTTTCCATATTGGCTGCAGCTGGTGGATTGGATTCCCTTGAAGCCAGAGCTGCATGGACCTGCAGGAGGGAGGGAGGGAGGGAGGGAGGGAGGCAAACACCCACCTACCTTCACTGGCAGATGAATCCTATCTCACCTACTTGTGTGGGTGAAGGTGCTGCTGAAGGCCCTTTGCACACTCCACATGCCCTGTGCCAAACACAGGGAGAGTCACAATTGCTGAAGCAAAGAAATGTAAGATTAGATTATGAACATGAAGATTAATTCCAACACCCCCACAGATGTGGGCTCATGCTCTAGGCCATGTCACAACCTGCAAGGGGCAGGGTACACTGCCCATCCTGCAACACGCATACAGTGCTTGTGCAGAGACACCCAGATAGGGGTGCTAGGGTTTTACACACACACCCCTCCAGCAGTTCCATCCTCAGAGTCATAGAATATTCAGAGTTGAAAGGGACCCATGAGGACCATCAAGTCCAACCCCTGTCCCTGCACAGAACATCCCCAACAATCCCACCCTGTGCCTGAGAGCATTGTCTAAACACTCCTTGAACTCTGGCAGGCTTGGGGCTGTGACCACTGCCCTGGGGAGCTGTTCAGTGCCCAAACACTCTCTGGGAGAAGAACCTTGTCCTGATATCCAACCTAACCCTCCTGTGACACAAGTTCAGGCCATTCCTTTGGGTCCTATCACTGGTTGCCAAAGCGAAGAGGTCAGTGCTGCCCCTGGTGAAGAAGTTATATACAACGATGAGGTCTCTTCCAGGCTGAACAGACCAAGTAACCTCAGCCCCTCCTCACACGGCTTTCTCCCCTCCTTCGTGTGGCTACTCCCAGGTCACCCATCCACTCGCAGACCGAGACGGTTCCTGCTTAGCTTCTGTGCCCGCCCGACCACGTGGCGCTGCGCTCCTCCCTCGGGGGCGTGGCCACTGCGATAAACCAATCAGCGCGGGGGGGGTCAGGGCGCTCAGCCAATCAGCGCGCGGGGGCGTGCCCGGGG